TGGGTCACTGTTCCGGATCGATCACGATCACAAAGCAAAATGTCATCAGACAAGGAGTGCGATGATGAGAGTTTTTCCTATAGTGAAAGTGCATGTGAGGAATCAAAACAGATAGATAAAAACGTAAAAAGATCTAACATTATAGTTATTATTTAAATGGACTATAATAATTATTTTAGACGGGAGATCGATATGAAGAGTGCATCACGGGAAAGGCAGAAAGAGATCTGCATTCATACAGTGCTCCTCAACCCTCCACAGATCCAAGTAAGTTATTTTTCATCTCCTCATAAGTAATATCATCCGATATTAGTCTAATTTATGTTGATACTAGTAGAATCTAGCATACTGTGACTAAACACTGCCTCAGTACTCATGATTGCTATATGGTGGCTTGCATCATTGGCAACATGCCCATACTATTCTTGTTGTGACATTGTCTGAATTCACAATTATAATGCATTCATGATAAACTATTGTATGGCACAAAGGATTGCTTGTTTCATCATGCTTGCAATGAACACGTATATATAGATCTAAAATCCATGAAGCACATGTGTCAGCGGCAGCCCTAAATTACCATAGAGCAGAAAAATTTGGAGGGAATTAAATTTTGTGAATTTGGCATTTTGATAGCCATTTGCCAAAATAAAATCCATCATCTTGAGCCATTATATGCATGCTCAAGGGATGTAACCACAAATTTGCCGGATTAAAATTTGCCAATCACTAATTTAGCGATTCATCAAATTTAACCCCTTCGAAAATTCCCCACTATACAGCATGTGAATTCTTTGGACCACTGATATTACAAACATGCATGGGGAGATCACATATTATCCTGAGACTGATTTGTTTATTAGCCCATTATTGCATGGCTGCACACAATAATCATATATAATCTTTATAGGTGATAAGCTATTTGATGTAGATTCAAGTTGGCTGAGGGATAAAATGCTAGATTCTACCATAAAAGTGAAGGTCACGCCAATGCTATTGATCAATTGTGGGCTACCAAGCAGCAGGAAAACCACAGCATTAAAGAAGCTCTTGCAAGCAGCTTCAAATTTAAAGGCAGAAGATGGTATTGGGTTTTGTGATGTGTATGCTGCTCGAAATTTACTCGACAATAAGATTGTGTTTATATCTCCACTACAAAAAACCGAAGGGTATTCATTAGTAATGTATGCAGGAGTAGAAAATGTGGCTCGGTCATCTGCCAAAAAAATTAGAGTGCGACCATCACATTTTTCTGGATTCTCTAATCAAGATCTAAACGATCACTTTACAGCTATTATAAAGGGCCTGCATAAAAATCATCTCAAAAAGCCATGTGAGTTCACTGAATGGGATCAAAGCCACACGTGTGGATTAGCTCTCATTAATGTTTGGGATCTTGGTCTTAACAAGATACCAACTTACGTTCTCTCACATCTTGCTGGTCATCTCTACAATAGTCATGTTTGGATGTTTCTTGATCTGCTACGTGATGTTGATCATCTTTATGAAGTTCCTGATATTCCAGAGAATCAATATGAGAAGTCACGTAATGACAGGGAGCTCATAATGAGGTGGAGATCACGTATTCGTTATTTTATTCGCTTTGCTAAATTTGCTTCAATGAAAAATGGAAATCGTAAAAAAG